ACCTGTCAATTGGTTCACATGATTCACAGTTGAATTTCACTTGGCAGGTCATGGAAGACTTACATGGAAGCAACCACTTTCCAATACTTTTGGAGAAGATGAATGGTATTCCAGCCAGGAGTGCAGAGATGGCGACTTGAACTTACGGACTGAATTCTTTTTAGATCAACTGCAGTATTGCAAGGATTTGTGAATGCTTTCCAGTGTGTTCAATATGCTGTTAATCACTTCACATCACGAATTCACCTTGCAGCAGAAGCATCTATTCCCTAAAGTCGTGGGTAGTACTGTCGAGCTTCTCATGGTGATCTGATGAATGCCAACAAGCTGTTAGAGCTATGCAGTTGAAGAGATCTCCACCGACGTAACCTTGATCTATTACAAAAAGACCCAAGCCAAGGCCAGGCGAGTGCTAAAGGAGGATAGACAGACGTCGTGGAGACAGTATGTATCCTCGATTGACTCTGGGACCCCTTTCGCATGGGTATGGGACAAGGTGCGAAAGATCAATAGAAAGAGCACATCCATGGCACCACCTGCTCTGAAGATAGATGGCATAATCCTCATAGACAAAAAACATGTTGTAAATGAGCTCCCTAAATCCATGGCAGACCCACTGCAATTTGTCCTAGAGATGAAGTACTTAGGTCTAATTTTTAACTCATGGCTTATATGAGCACTTAGTATTTTGCGAGTTCTTTCACACCTATCTTGGGTTGCAGACCGCACAATGACTCTGTAGCTTAACCGAGCACTTATTCATAGTAAACTTGACTATGAATGTGATAGTTATTCATCTGCAACTCCCACTGTTCTCTGGATGTTGGACTCGGTTCATAACGAAACCCTCAGAATCTGTACAGGGGCTTTCAGATCTTCACCTGTGGAGTCCCTGTATGCTGAGAGTGCAGAACCACCTCTTTCATTACACTGGGACTACATAAACCTGATTTACTACAAGACTACAATGGATTCCAGGATATCTTACATTCAGATTGTTTTTCAAATTGTTTTTCAAATAGTTTTTAATTTGATATTAAAATGACTAAAAAAATAATTGAGTGACTATAGTTGTAGAGCTGAGGCTACAATCACAATACATACAATAACATAGAACCAATGAACTGTATTGCCGCTATTACTTCATCAGTATATTTAGAAAATAATGATAAGCAATTTGGATTAGTCGGAAGAATGAGATGGATTTATCGCACGTATATATAAAGTTTTATAGTTCCCTGGTCGCTGCGGCAGTTTCAGTCGCGGCATTCTTATTTTTCTAATAATTCGGAGGATTCTGAATTATGATAATCGGGAGCAGTAGTTGTAGGACTTTGACTTCGGTTCTAGTTGTGAGTTTGCAGGTTTAAGGGGTTTCGTAAAATGAACTTTATTAGAGGATCTTTAGAATTATCAGGCATTATTCATTATATTTTGGTTGTCTAACAAAGTATCATCCCTTTATTCCAGTTAACAAAGTCTATGACAAGTAGAAACTTGGCTGACCATTGATCAGGAGAAAAGGAAAAAAGTAAATAAACAGCAATCATTATAAACATAATGCGAAATGTTACAGTACGGTCAAATAAAACAGCGACTTTCAGACGCCAGCTGAACTCAGTGATGAACAAAGAATCTTCAACATATCTCTCCTTGGAAAACCATAAGTCAGTTAATTTCATCTTACCTGCAGGAAGCTGCTGTCAGTATCATTACAGTCAGCATAGGGATCTGCATGCTCGTCCACCTGTACTATCGTATCTTCTTTAGGTTTCGTGATTGGCTCTATCACGAACGTCGGTTTCTTTGTGGTTTCCGTAGTAGTTGCCACTGTAGTTGTAACCAGTGGTACAGTTGTTCCTGTAGTTGTAGTGACAATGTCGGTTATTGACTCCGTTGTGGTAATGGTTGTTACCTCCGTTGAGGATGGAGATTCTGTAGTGGTTGTTTCCGTTGACGTTGTGGATTCCTTTGAAACTGTTGTAGATTCCGATGTTGTAAAGGTGGTTGTGGTAGATTCTGGGGTTGTCAAATTAGTTTCTATTAAAGTTGTAGAAACTGGTTTAGTAAAGGTTGATTCAGTTGAAACTCCGGTGGATTCCGGTCTTGTAAATGTTGTATCTGGGATGGTCACGGTCTCCGGTGTTATAGACGTTGTGTCTGGTATGTTTGTAGATTCCAGAGTTGTAGGCATTGTTTCTGGCAAGGTTGTTGGTTCTAGAGTTGTCAAGGTTGTCACTGGTAAAGATGTGGATGCCAGTGGTGAAATTGTGGATTCCGGAGTTGTAAAAGTTGTTTCAGGTAAAATTGTGGATTCCGGAGTTGTAAAAGTTGTTTCAGGTAAAATTGTGGATTCCGGAGTTGTAAAAGTTGTTTCTAGAGTTGTAAAGGTTGTTTCCGTCAAAGCTGTGGATTCTGATATTTCAAAGGCTATGTTAGTAAAAACTGTTGTCTTAGAAACAGTAATGGCTTGTGGCAATGTAATGGTAATTCTGATCTCAGTATTAATTAGTATGTTAATTTTCTCATGGTATAACATTTTCCATCGTACCTGGGATTTTAAAGTACACGTTTTATTGATATATGTATATACACACATGTATGTTTGTGTATATATGTATGAATGTATGTATGTGTATTTGCACGTGCGCAATCTTTCTTTCTTTCTCTATCTATCTGTCACACACACACACACACACACACTCGTGCACACACACACACACGCGCGCGCGCGCACACACACACATATATATTTATACACATGTGTGTTACGTGCCAGTATCTGTGTGGGTATGTATCTATGTATATGTGTAAGTGTGGATGTAATGTTTGTTATAGATGAAAAAAAAAACAAGGGTTAAAAGAACGTACCTGTTGTACTTGAAATGGTGGTTGTCTCATTTTCCTCCTGTATTGTAGAATAGAAAGGGATATTTTAATGAAGCTCTTATCGCATTGTGTTCATGACGACAAATACAAATTTTGTATCACTTATTTTTAGTTTATTATAAAATATGACCTGCACACATGCCAAGTAATGTAATAGGAAGTGTAGCTCATATAACAAGCAACTTTTAAATCGCAATACGTACACACTCTTCTTCAAAAACATTAAGGACAATAATATCTGACAAATGGCGTTCGAACGCGGGGACCGCAGCCAACATCTGCATGTAGTCTGTTAGGGAGTCCAAATCCATGTTGCTAGCGTTATAATACGATCTGGAAGGAATTGGATTCTTTATAGAAATTTCCAGCTTTGATATCATGTGAGCTACAGTGTATTGGATTTAGGCAGATTTACAGGTACAACATGGAAATTTTGGCGTCTTATATGTTATACGACATTCACAAAAAGAGAAAAAGAAAACTATTATTTGTCAAATAATTTTAGATTTGCGTAGAAAAGAACAAGCAATTCATCATGTATCATATCATTCTACGATTTTTCGATATTCACACACACGCACACACACATACATACATACATATATATATATATATATATATATATATATATATATATATATATATATATATATATATATTTATATATATTTATATATATATATATATATGTGTATATATATATATATATATATATATATATATATATATATATATATAATATATATATATATGTATATATGTATATATATATATATATATAAATATATATATATATATATATATATATATATATATATATATATATATATATATATATAATATATACATATATATATATATATATATATATATATATATATATATATATATATATATATATATATATATATATATATATATATATATATATATATATATATATATATATATATATGTATATATACATATATATATTTATATATATGTATGTATGAATACATATGTTACATTTCAGTGAAGTGTTGTATCACAGAATGCATCACATCATCCGTTCTGTTGCCCAAATCTTCGACCCCGTTGTCGCCTATACAACCGCAGTCTCTGTGCGACTGGAAGCTTTGTGCGATCTGGAAGTAAATAGCGAGGGAACTAATCATCTGGGAAGATAATATAAGGATATAACTATTTAGATTAGCGTAGAATTAAATGACATTCCGAAAACTTTTTATTTGACAAATGCTCGCCCTAGTTATTTTTTCACAGAAATTAGAAATTAAATGTGTTATAGATATCAGGTATCGTCGTTGCCTGATTACTTTAAATTGTTAGTTATTCTCCTATCACGATTGTAGTGAAGTTGATGTCTACATTAGATATATGATTTTTCCTATATAGAATTACAAATATTTTTACCTATATATAGAATGTCAATGGAATACATGAATTATCAAAGCCATTTAAACGTCTATATTAATATATATATATATATATATATATATATATATATATATATATATATATATATATATATATATATATATATATATATATATATATATATATATATATATATATATATATATATATATATATATATATATTTCTCAACCAACATAGAGAATGTTAAGGAAATAATTTAATCAAGCATAAACGTCTGGTAATATTTATAGAAATAAATTTATTGGACCTTCAGTACAATAGAAATCTTGAAATTTATAACACTTTTGTTTAGATAACTGCCACGTCAAGTGAATGCATGAAGTGCTTACTTGAATGATAGGATTAGCAGGTTCGGCCGTAAAAGTCCTTAGTAGGATGACGAACATGACAGTGCCGTCGACACTTATCAGCGGCAAGATGACCAATATGCCATAGCCAATGTGCACATCTCTCTGGTACTCCTGAGACATGAAGCAAAATGAATTATTTATTTGAAAGGTTACTTTTCTGAGCAACATTTTTTCATGCAATGCAGGGGTTTCACTACAAGTTTGGCAGCTTACCTTCTCCTCCAAGTAAATTAGGTCGTTTTCATCCATGTAATACCAGGATGAATTGGCAGAGATGTTAGAGTTTTGCGAGAAAACCGTCTCGACCACACAGAAGCTTTC